CCCTCTATGAGGTGGATTGATTCGGGGAATGGGAGTGTCAAAGACAGTGCGATTGGCACAAGACAGAGCAGAGTTTAGGGCTGTTGTACACAGGGTCGCTATGAGTCGCAAGTGACTCGACGGCACATAACAAGAACAACAACAAGTCAGTGGCTAGATTCTTAACCATTATTTGATGTTCCCACTAGTTCTGAAAGTAGATCTGGAAGGCATGGGAGGATCCAAGTAGGAAGCTCTGACAACAAAAACATAAATGATCCTAAAAAGGGGGTAGACAGAAATGGCTAAAGGAGCAGAGTTCATCAGGGCTAGGCCCAGGTTCGGCCCTGCAGGGCTTCTCGCAAGGCCCTGTCTGACTCCTGAGCCACTTGGGGGCAGAAGTCTTATGTCAGAAACCCAAAGAACACAGTATAAAGTCAGTCCATCTAACTACTCCAAGTCCCAATGACCACATTATAATCCAGAACTTTTAACTGTGTTACCTTATGTGGCAAATGGACCATGAAGACGTGATTAAGCTAAGTACCCTGACTGAGGAGTTGGGGAGACTGTCCTGGGAGGATCCATCTAATAAAATGAATTCCTCAAAGCCCTGAGCCTTTCCAGTGTGGTCAGAGATGAAGATGTGAAGATGGAAGGAGAGATAACATGTCGCTGGCTCTGAAAATGCTGGGAGTGGTCACAAACCAAGAATGTGGACTCTGGACAAGGCAACAACACATATTCCTCTCCACAGGCTGGGGAAGGAAGTGACCCTGCTGTCACTTTGATTTTTGCCCCATGACACCTAAGAAACTCAGAACTTAAAAACAACAAAAAAAGAAACTCAGAACTTTAAGATAGTAGGTGGATGGCATCTTGAGCTAGTTTAGTAGTAATTTGTCCTAGTAGTCACAGAAAATTAATATTCACTCTAACATGTGCATTTGTCCAGATCTCACTTTGGGAATAAAGTCCTGGTTTCTTATGTTCAACTTACGTTCTTTGATTGGGATTTACATTCTAAACTCTTCCTTTCCTCCTCTTGTTCCCCACTTTCACAAACATATGCACACAGTTTTTCTATATATTAGTTATACAATTTCCATGCCAATATTATGAGCATCAGAATAAAATGAACATCAGAATAAAATGCATGAACATCAGAATAAAAAACCTTTCATACATTTCAATATATTCATCTAACCAGACCCTCAAAATGCCATCTTGGGACATTGCTAGAATCCCTAAACAGACCACTAACCCACTGTTACAATCTGAGAATAACTGACAATGATTCTTAACTTTGCTGAAGATAATTCAAAAACAACTATAACCGTACATCAACAGGAAGCTGCCAGAACTCAAGTCAGATGCAGAAGAGGATTTGGAATGAGGGATACCATTGCTGATATAAAAGAGATCTTAGCTCAAATTACAGAACCCTAGAAGGATTGTGCCTCTGTTTTATTGACTACCCAACAAACTATGTGTTGCGTTGTGAAGAATGAGCATTCTAAGCACTTAATTGTTCTCATGTAGAACTTATTAAAAAAAAACACAAACAAACAAAAAACCCACAACCCTTACTGCCGTCAAGTCAGAACTGACAGCCGACTCTCCTGAGAGATTATAAATCACAAAGAACGAGATTGCCTATTTCACGCTCATGGAGCAGCTGTTGGCTTCAAACCACCAGAAATTCGCCACCTTTGGGTTAACAGTGCAACTCCCTGTGGATAAGCCTCCAGGGCTCCCTTGTAGAACCTCCTTTCCCCCCATAAAGTATTGATAGTTTTACCAGCCTTTCAGTCAGAAGCCCAACACACAGAACACATGTGGTGGTGGCGGTGTCATGTGCTGTCGAGCTGACTACACCACACAGCAATCCAATGAACAACAACAGATCAGAATCTTGCCCTAACCTGAGCCATCCTCACCATCTCCGATATAAGCTCAGTTAGTCACCCTGTCAATCCTTCCTGCTGAGGGTCTTTCTTCCTTTCTCTTACCCTCTCCCTTTCTCAGCAAATCTTTTTCCAAGGACTGATCCTTATGACAACATGCCCAAAGTATAGGAGACAAAGCTCCCCTCTTCGCCTCTAAGGAACACTCTGGATGCACTTCCTCCGAGATAGACTTATTTGTTCTTTTGTCCCTAATGCATATAAAAAAACCCGATCTCAACTTTGCCCTATTGTCAGCCTCACAATCTCTAATACGCACAAGCCCACTGTTGCAATCACTGTGTGAATCTCCTTGAGGGTCTTATTCTCTTTTCCTGACCCTCCACTTTTCCCAACATGATGTCTTTTTCTGAGGGCTGGTCCCACTTGACAACATGCCCAAAATATGTGAGAGGTTTCACCATTCTCTGAGGAGCATCCAGGTTACACTTCCTCCAAGGCATATGTTGTTACTTTTATTTGCTGTTTAGTTGGTAGTGACCCATTGCCACCCCTCCAGCAAGATTTTAAAGGCTGTAAACCACATGGGAGGAGACTGCCCATCTTTCTCCCTCGGAGCGGCTGGTGGAGGCAATGCAGCTCCTTATCCACAATGCCTCCAGAGCTTCCTAAAGTCTATCAGATCCAGGGCTTATTTCACAGTGACTGTTTCCCATGCCCAGGCAGCTCCTCTTCTGCAAGCCGGCCACACAGGGCTGCATCTC